AAGCAAAAACAATAGTATGTGCAGTAGAAATTTAAGAATGATGGAAAGTTGTTTGTAGATAACAGTACGTATTCAATGAAGGTTGAAATATATCTGTTACTGACTAGGGCACTAGGCAATGTTCAGTAATTGTCATGCAGGTTGGTTAATTCACCATTACATAGAATGATTTTTCTATGAAAAATATATTGAATTTTTTCAAAGCTTTTATTATCATTGCATTCTCCTACACATTTAAAGAGAAATAGATAACTTACTTAGACTCAAAATTATAACATTTATAGTTATAAGAGAATAAGGATTTTTTTGTCCGAAATGTTGCATACTTACATATTATATTTTTCTTTGTCTCTTTGAATGTCTCTCTCTCTCTAGATATATATATATATAAATTTAAATCTATGCTAATAGATTTAAATGTTAATTTTAGCATAAAAGAGGAGGGGGAGATTACAAATAGCTTTCCATCTTGTGTAATTTACATTCCATTTATTTAACTTGGATTAAAATTAAATATTTAAAAGTATAGTAAGGGCTTGTATAAAATTTACTGTCCTTGATACGTGCTTCCATTTAATTTTAATAATATAAAATAAATGTGACACTTAGCAGAAATGATAATGTCGCTGTTCATATGTAAATATAAACTTCATCCTGTGTTTGGAAACATTCAACAGTAGCAATCAGACTACACAACTGTCTAGTTTTTGTAGTTTTGGGTTTTATTTTAAAAGTTGATATGAGTTTCAGAAGTATCATTATTCTTTTAATATCATACCTTCATTAAATGCTTATATCAATAGAAGTATCAAGTTGCTTATCTATGGGATGCTAAACTTACATAGCCTTCTGCCATCGGGCTGATTCTGTCTCATAGCAATCCAATAGGACAGAGTAGAAATGCCCCTTTGAGTTTCTGAGGCTATTAAATCTTTTATAAGTAGAAAGCCTCATTCTTCTGCAAAGTGACTTGTGGAGTCAAAATGCATAATCCACTAAGCCACCAGGGCTCCTTATGGGATGCTAGTAACTTTATTCTTTTCATTGCTTGGACTATAATATAGGTATTTTAAGGAATTTAGGGAATCCCTTATAGTACCAATATATGTCTAAAAGACTATGGTAGGACTCAAAAATATGCATAACTATATAACATTTAAATGTTGCAAGAGCCTCCTGAGAAAAAGATAAAATAAGATTTGACTCATAGCCATCATTATTGTTTGAAACTTACAGTAGTGTCAAAAGTATGCTCATAATACTATTAAATAACATATGAATTGGATCCGGACTTCAGTGCACTGGATGGAAAAAAAACCCTGCAAAGCCTCAGTGATCCTGAGTATGTTAGTCTTACATTTTAATTCTAAGTGTTAAGAAGATAGAGCAAATAAATAAATAAACTCTTGAATATTAAGATTTTCATCAATTAAATCAATTCATTTCTTGAATAATTTGTTTTATGTTTATGTTAAACAGTGGGGTCAGAGGTGGCCCAGGTTTACTATTACACACTTTATAGAGTCAGAGGTTAATTTTTTTTATTGATCAGTTTATTAAGTTTATTTATTTTTATAACAATTTTTAATTGTAAGTTAGGTGGGGATTCTGGCTAGACCAGAGGATGTACACTGGTACAGATAGGAACTGGAAACACAGGGAATCCAGGACAGATGATCCCTTCAGGACCAGTGGTGAGAGTGGCGATACTGGGAGGGTGGGGAGAGGATAGGGTATGAGAGGGAACCAATTACGAGGATCTACATATAACCTCCTTCCTGGGGGACGGACAACAGAAAAGTGGGTGAAGGGAGACGTCAGAAAGTGTAAGATATGGCAAAATAATAATTTATCACTTATCAAGGGTTCATGAAGGAGGAGGGGCCAGTGGGGAGGGTGGGGGAAAAATGAGCTGATGCCAGGGGCTTGAGTGGAGAGCAAATGTTTTGAGAGTGATAAGGGTAATGAATGTACAAATGTGCTTTATACAATTGATGTATGTATGGATTGTGATGAGTTGTATGAACCGCCAATAAAATGATTTTTTTAAAAATTAGGTGGGGATTTACTCATTTTTAAAAAATTCCATTTTCCTATGAAGTTTTGGAAGCCCTTCTCATTTAAGAATTTTTTTTTTAAAGATGAATTTGTTTTTAAAGATTTTTGTTCTCTTTAGAATGGAGGTTACGGAATGTTCTGGTGGTTTTAAGTTCCATAGGAACTTATAACCACCAGAAAATCAGACCATTGTTGTTTACTTGCTGTAGTACTAAAATAAATCAATTATATGTAGCCTAAGACCATACTTTCATAATTTACAAATCTGACATATCTTAGATTTTGTGAATATATTTTTTTAATTATTTGTAGTGGATGAGTGTTATGATAGAGCGCTGCTTTATCTAACTCTTTGGGACAAAATTTCCTTTTTAGATGAAGTTAATATTCCACATTCAATTTTCAGAGTTGTGACACTATATATTTAACTTAAGGATTTGATGTTTCTCACTAGACTGCAAATTCCTTAAGGTATGGATTAGCTTGTTCATTTTATAATCATGCTGCTTAAATTTGTACCTGCCCAATTATAGTAATAACATTGATGATAGTTAATAATACGATAGAAATAACCTCTAATACTGGCCTGTGATTATTATGTGATAAGGGCTGTGCTTAGCATTGCAGCTTGATAGCATCATTGATGTCTCAGAACGTTAAACAAATTAGAAGTGTTGTTATTCTCCACCTTTTCCTGTTGAGGTAATAGGCCTAGGGAGATCAAGCAACTTGCTGAAGTGCAGCGGATGATAGACCCAGCTTTAGGATGTAGTTTGATTTTTCAAGCCAAAATTTATAATCACTTTGCTATACCAACTCCCAGCATGGTTTATCAGTCAATACTGATTAAATGAAGATTTTTAAGCAGAATTTCAGTTGAGTATGAGACATGAGTAGGGTGGTATTTCTCAAATTGAGGGAGGGTTGACATATTATTTAGATTAATATTACAGTCTAGAAGCAACATATTAGCATTTAATATATAAAAATATAACTGTCCACTGAGGGAAGTATATACTCAAATTCAAGATCAAGTTCTCTCAATATAGGTAAATGAGTATTGCTCTGGAATGGGCCAGAGTTCCTGAATGGGATTTCTTAAGGGTAGGTGGGTGGATTGTGCACTGTGGCCCATTAATGCACGCCAGCTCTTTTATCTGGTCCTCACTCTCAGGGGTAGTTGTCTGTTTTCCTGGAAGACAAATTAGCTGTATATTTACTGAGACAATATACTGTACTGGCCTCCAGAATGGGGCCATTGAATATTCAAGGGTAGTTTTATCTCTTAGGTTTTTGCACTAGATAATTAGAACTTACACCCCCCACATAAAATCCTACTGCACAGTTTGATTAGCAAAGAAATGATATGTTGTATTTATAGTACAGTAAATCCTCAGGTTATGAATATCCATGAAACAAAGAAAAACCCAAACCCAAATTCATTGCCACTGAGTTGATTCTGACTCATAGTGCCCCTTTAGGACAGAGGAAAACTGCCCCTGTGGGTTTCTGAGACTGTAAAACTTTATGGAAGCAGACACCCCCATCTTTTTCCCAAGGAGAGACTGGTGGGTTGTACTGCTGAACCCCATGGTTAGCAGTTGGATACATAGATCACTACCAGAGCCACCAGGGCTCTGTAGGACAAGTCATACTTGACCTTTAACATTGTGTAAATTTGCCCTGATTTTGAAACTGAACCAATCCCTACTCTGGATAAATTCTTCATCACATTTACTACATTTGCTGCACGTGCAGCTTTAAGTCATTGAGAGATGCAAGCGTTTTCTTACACAACCATAAAAACCAAATCCACCGGAATCAAGTTGATCATAGCAACCCTGTATAAGGCTTCTAAGATCATAGATCTTTATAAGAGAAGACAGCTTCATCTCCACCACAGAACACGTGGTGGGTTTGAACTGCTAACCACATAGTTAGCAGCCCAATGCCTAATTCACAGCAAAAGTAAGACTAAAGAGAACCATATGTATCTCTCCTGATTTTAATTACAAAAAGAAACACTTAGGAATGTCTCTTGTTCCTAACCTGCTGAAATCGGTCTAGGCCTACTTAAAAAACATGGTTCAAAGTTAATCTTTGTGTGAAGTGGTGGGGATATTACTTGTGGTTTTCTTAACAACTTACCGGTCCTTGTTATAGTGAGTTGGAAATTATCCAAACATTAATTAAAGGAATACTGTGTATACTTTGTATAAGCTTTTTATAAAATACATTTTGCTTAGGGTAAGACACTGCTACACTGTGACCTAATAACTGAACCCAGTGCTGTTCCATCATTTCTGACTTGGGGCAGCTTTATAGGACACAGTAGAACTAGTCACATGGTTTCCAAGTCATTATTCATGATGGAAGCAGACCACCAAGTGTTTTTCCCCTTGGAATGGCTGGTGGGCATCAACTACCACTCTTTGCAGAGCAGCCAAGAGTTTAACCCTTGCATTGCACGGGGCTCCCTGCTAGCACTGTCCATAAACCAAATCCACTACCATTGGTTCTAACTCACAGACGCCTTCCATAGGGCTGCTGAGGCTTTGTAAATCTTTCTGGGAGCAGACAGCTCCGTCTTCCTCTCCTGAAGCCTCCGATGGATCTGAACCACCACCTCTCCCCTTAGCAGGCCAGTGCTGACTCGAAAGTGCCACCAGGGCTCTTTGGCTAACACTGTAGTTTTTATATTTATAGAAGCACCCATGGAGTTTGTGCGTTTTTATCCTTAGAGTTTTTATTATACAAATAATAGTCTGATTTCGGAATAATAGAAATCATGTTTGCATGGCAATCCAAAATAGATCTTTTTCAATTTTGGTGCTGGAATGTTATTATCTTTTTAAAAATAATACTTTAATAACTAATGTGAAGTGATCCATTTTCTGATACACCGGGTATGATATCCTACTTTCCCCCCTTCTTTGTGACAGATCTATTTGAAAATGTCTGTGAGTCTCCCATGAAGAGAAGAGAACTTAAGGATCTGAAGGAGGGTAACCTGGAGTTCAGAAGTCCTAAGCCGCGTAACAGCATCACGGTTTCAAAGAAACGCAATTGGCTCTATCAGAGTACCCTGAAATCTCTTAACCTGGAAGAGGAAAGTAAAAAATCCCAAGATAAAAGTAATCTTCCTATCTCGCCCATGTCTCTGCCTAAACACCAGCGATCACAAACATTCCTCAAATCCTCTGAAGAGTATTGTACATATGTGGTGTGTAATGCTCCAAACCCTTCTTTATCCAGAAGCTCTCCTTTAGACTGTAATGAGGAAAACGATGCAGATGATGAAGGGGAAATCTGGTACAACCCCATTCCAGAGGATGATGACCCTGCCTCTGGGTTTGGTGTGGCAAACCCTTCTGCTCTGAAACGCCCTGCTCTAAGTTTGAGAGTGTTGGCAGGTCAGAGTGACCTGACTAAAGGCGACCAGAACACCAACGACTCGCTAGGCTCCACTGAACATACCGGACATGTTCAGACCACACAGGCCGATGAAACCAATCACGTAGATCCCCTGCATTCTTCAGAATTTACGCAGCAGTATAAGCAAAGGCTTGGACATAAGACACCGGAGAGTATGATGGTGGAAGACAGTTCCATGTTGAAATCTGCCCTTACAGGTAAAGTTGATCATATGTCTACCCCTCCCCTGCCAGTTTAGAGTTCTTTCATGGTAGATGTACAAATGTTTTTAAGTAGGTGGTTTAATTATTTCCGTCACAGACTATGTTTTGTAATCTATGCTTTGAATATGTCAAATTTTTGAAATAGTAATTTTCTCTTATTGGAGAGAATTGAATTATGAGACTTGACGAGAGAGAATCTTTATTTTGCTTCCTTTTTTCTTAGGTACCTGACCTGGCCACAGCTGGGAGAGTTATGTTTTCAGTATGCCAGTGATAGTTTGTTTAGCTTTTATGCCTCAGTTTTTCCTCCTGGGCAGAGAAAAGGAAGAAGAGAAAAAGAAATAAGATAAAAAGTAGAGATCTTGCAGATATCTACTACAGTAGTATGGAATACAGAAAAAAGATAGTTGAAGTGTGATTTACATTGAGTTTGACCATATAAACTTGCCATGTTCAGTCATGTTTTAAATCTGTAAAACACAGATAGTATTTCATATGGTTCCACCCAGTAGTTTTATTATGCCTCAACATCTTTTGATTATTTTGTGTGCTGATTTCTTTTCATATTTAGTCTCAGATACACTACCCAAGACTCTTGAACATGAGACATATTTTAGTTCTAAGTATCGATGTTACATGGAGAGCAGTTCTATTTTACTCCAAGAGATTCCAAATGATGCCGACTATTAAACCAGATGGGGCGGAGCAGATGCTTTTTGTGCATTGTCTTTATCTCTGGAGTTTTACCCAACCAATTTGGCCCAACCAAATCCTAACCACACATATCTGCAATGCTGCCGCGGGCTTTTTCTCAGATGTTTTAGGGAGTCTCCTGCATGGTCTGGACATGCTCCTCA